CTCTATTATGGCACTGTTTTGTGCATCAGTTCACAACTCACATTTATTGACCGTAAATTAGTCGTACCTATTTGGGAATCAGTTATTATCGAAATTCAAATCAAATACCCTGCCATTGCCACAGCAGCTGTTAATATAACACTATATACTCATGTAATACATTCGGTTCTGTCTTTTAAAAGTTCGGCTGTGTATCGAGGACTAATGAGGTTATTCAATACAATTTGTCGATAGACTGCAAACGAACTCAAGTTGTTCAATAAAATTTCTCGAAAAGACTACGGACGCAATTTGGCTGTTCATTATAATTTGTGAATTAGACTTAACGACTAACGGGTGCACTTCGGCTGCGAAAAAGGTAAAAACTCTAAACAGGACGACCCTAGGATATCCTGAATATTGTATCTGCTGGTTTTTCAAGAAGAGTCACTTATTAAAATGTTATTCATAAATAATAATTATTGTTATTAATTTTATAGTAATTATTATATGAAAATTATTGTGTACCTCGTGACGAATATCTGGTCTTCGATTTCGTAGGTACCCAATTTTAGGTAGTTTGCAAACATGTTTCTATTACCCCTTCTTCCAGACCCACGACCGTCGATTTGAGCGACAATCACATTTTTGCTTGAACTAAAAAACATGTTCCATTCCAACGAAAACTTGTTGATAGCCAAATTTGATCCAGGACCAGCATAACTATGCATAATATATTAAGACAATGTATTTAGTTTTGTGATAACTATAGACAAAAGGTTTAAGATAAACGTGGGTAAATTAATTAAATACAAGTAGTGTAGTTAGAATTTAATAGTTAGTGGATAATGAATTATTAACTGATAGAGTTTAAAGTTAATACTTAATAATAGAAAAATACTAACTTAAAAGGTAACTTATGGGGATATATCATTATTAGACACAGGATATAAAGTATTTACATGATTGCTACTGCAACTAATAATAAACCCATATGCGACAGAGATCATTGGGGAATACCAGTTTAGAAAAAGAAAATCAACAATCGATCATAATATCCATACCATCAGACAAATAGCGGAGAAGCATTACGAATATAATAAGGACCTACACTTTGTATTCATAGACTTTAAGCAAGCCTACGATTCTATTAAGAGAAAAGAGTTATTGAAGGTCCTGAGATATCTAGGTATCCCTCAAAAATATATAAATTTAATCAAGATGTGTAATAGAAAAACTAATTTGAAAGTAAAATACCAACAGAAATTGTTAGAAAAGTTCGAAGTAAAATCCGGTCTTCGTCAAGGAGATGCATTGTCACAGATGCTATTCAACATTGTTYTGGAATGGGTAGTGAAAACAGTTAATGAAACTCGAAAAATGTAAGTATGTGAAATTGAAACCATCCTTGCTTATGCGGACGATATGATCATTCTGAGAAATTCTTGAAACGAAGTTTAGCAAACCAAAATAAAACCTTGGAAGCAGGCAAGATCATGGGGTTAGAAGTCAACCAGAAGAAAACAAAATAAATTGTTTTTAAATCAATTGAAAAAGGCTAAGCTATTTCAACAATAAGGCGTAGGTAAGTTAAACTAGGGTGGTATATTTAACTTTTAAAGTAAACTTATATTTTTTAACTAATTAATGGCCTCCTTTAGATATTATTATTGAGGCAAGATTTGATATCTATAATATTTTTCAATATTGAGCTTATAAGATTAGTGGATCCGTCACTTACGTGTTGACCAACAGAGGATACTTGATGTCCGAGCTTTCGTCGAC